AGGAAGACCCCCAACGAGATGGATCAGCCAGGTGGCATCATTGATGGACTCAAGTGTGGCAGCAGTAGTGAGGTTGGCCCAGGATCGGACATTGTCTCGTTCTGCTGTACATGGGGTCGCTATGAGTCGGTTCTGACTCGATGGCAACTGACAACAACAACAACATAGATCTTTATCTTTTGTTATTTCCATTTGTAATGAAGCCCATAAAGTTTATTTTTCAATTTGAATATTATTTGTTGTAGAATTATTTTTAGTAGTTTTATAGAAATTTCATTTCTTCTCCTAATCTATCCATTCTGCATATCTTTTTTAAATTTCTACAAATTCCAATTTCTGGGTTATTTTAGAGTCATGTTTTCTCCTGAAAAGTCACACACTGGCCATATTCACTGATACATTGTATATCATGTGGATGTTCCTTTGAAGAATATTTTCAATTTTATTTTTCTTTTTGTTGTCATTTGCAATTGAGTCAATGTAGTTAAGCACTTCACTTTTTGTGAACTCAGGAATCCTATTTTTGCTCTACCAAGCGGTTTACTTACCTAGAAATAGCTTCTAAACACTGTCCATTGTTGTTTGGAGACAGCCAGAATCTCTTCAGTTATTTGAACATTTTTTATAATCCTTCCTACTGCGCTGTCTACTTAGGATGTATTCCATATATTCTTCTTTTAGGTATAAGTTAAATTCTTACACTTGAGTTACAACATATATTTTGGGGGCCCATTCTATCCCTCATTTATTTCCTAGATATCTTACCTCAATTTCCATATCCTTTTAAAAAATTGTATCTATTCTCAAATGAGTATGATTGGGCTTTCTCTCTGAGTATTAGACACCATAAAGCTGCATTGCTTGGGTCAGGGTCCTCAGGTGTAATTCCATACAAATGGTGATCTCAGCTAAAGTAGTTTTTCTTTCCAGTGTTGACTGAGCCTCTTCTTTTTGACTACCCTGAAGTTAGTATTGAAAAAAAAAAAAAAATTTTTAATTCAGGGTTTTTATTTTTATCTGTGGTGGTTGTTATTATTGTTAAGTATCCTCAACTAAGCTCATTTTCAACTCGTTGTTGTTAGGTGCCATTGAGTAGGTACTGACTCATAGCAACCTTATGCACAGCAGAACGAAACTCTGACTGATCCTGGGCCAACCTCACTATCATTGCCACGCTTGATCCCATTGATGCTGCCACTTTGCCAATCCATTTGACTGGGGGTCTTCCTCTTTTTCTCTGACCCTCCACCCTACCAAACATGATATCCTTCTCCAGCAACTGGTCCCTCCTGACAATATGTCCGAAGTATGAG